TAGAGAAGGAAAGTTAGGAGCTTATTGAGGGTCCATACAAAGAATAACCAATAACTAGCATCTTCTTCTGAAGGGCTCAGGATGACATCCTGGGAATAGAGTGGACTTTACAGGCTGATGGGGTTGGGCTGAAAAAGATTTTCTGCCTAGCCTATAGTAGATGCTCAAGAGTTCTCTAGAGGCTTTGAGGTAGTTGCCATGTGTTACAGGTTGGGGTTTACAGGAAGCAGATTCTTAGAGATAGAGTGTAGCATGCAGGAAGTTTATTAGGAAGTACCCTTGAGATCCAGAGCCATGGAAGAACAGGGAAAGAAGCAGATTAAGTAAGGCTGCCAATAATACCAGATAAGCCCATACGGAGCTCGAAAGCTTAAGTGGCCCAAGAGAGTTGCCCCTAGTCCCTAAAAGGACTAGGACTTTCTACCCTTGCCTTGATCAGTCATTGGATGTAAACCACTCCTGGAAGGGCATGATCTTGGGAAAAGTGGATCCTTATAGCTTACAAGGCTCCAATCTGAGTTTTGTCTGCTGACAAAACTCCTACAGTTAGGAGGATCTGGCTGGGCCATGTCTGTGCTCATCACAGGTCACTCCTTGCATCCCTATGATCTATTCTTTCATAGACATTCAGAGAGCAGCTACTCCAGGATTCCAGTGAATCTCCTTTTCTGGAGAATACCTAAGAAGAGGAAGTCTACAGGGACCAAATTTAGTCCTGGCCACTGCAGCTGGTTTTTAGGCTGCAGCTAATAATCTACCTATCCCTATTTTTCCATCCATTCTGTGTTCCTTTTACCTTCAAATGCTGGTCTTAGTGGTTTATCAGGTGGTATCACCTAGATCCTTATCCCTTATGGGTAGGGACTCGTGGTTACCATGGCGTTTCTCAGACTAGGATGGTTACACTTGTCTATTTACCAGCACAACTGAGCAAGGAAATATCAAGAGATGCTCAAGTAAATCCAGATCTAAACACATTCTACCCTGCTCCCATTGAGTAATAGTGGTCCTACCTCCTCCTGATGATTGGGTTGATTACCCAGGCCAAGTTGCTTGCTGAGCCCTGTACATAAGAGGACTTTAGGCAGCTTTATAGTCAAATAAACCTATTAATGTGTCCATCAGTTGGATACGTCTCCTTTGGGGAACAGAACATTTTATCCCTGCAAAGACCAGACTTACAGAAATGAGACAACCAAGTTCTCAGACTGTGTCATTGTGAGTGAAAATAAAGTGAAGCCACTCCTGCGTATAGTCTTTGGCTTCCACACCATGTACTCTCTACTTGGGACATAGCACCATATACCAATGCAAACTAATTTTTGTGACACCATAGAGCAGTGGGGAAAATAAATTTTCTTTTTATTTGAGATATTTTTTAAAATTTTGGATTTTAGAAATTAAAAAATGTACGGACAGTAAATTCTACTCTTTGTGAATTAGACAGGGGTATAGAGTTGTATACATACCACCACAGCCATAAAACAGTTTCATCACCCCCAAAATATTTCCCATATCCCCTGGTAACCACTGACATGTTTTTTATCCCTATAGTTTTGCCTTCATAATGTAAATGATAATGTATATGCCAGAATATCATATAAATAGAACCATACAGTATGTTGTCTTCTTTTGTGGTTGGCTTCTTTCTCTTAGCAAAATGGATTTGAGATTAATCCATGTTGCTGCATCTATCAATAATTCATTACCTTTTATTGATGAGTAGTTTTATATTGTAGGTATGTACCAGTCTTTTTTATTATCTCCTGAAAGACAATTGGGTTGTTTCCAGTTTTTGGAGATTATGAATAAAGCTTGTATAAACATTCACATGCATGGTTTTGCATGAACATAAGTTTTCATTTCTCTTGGAAAAAAACTACCTTTTTAATAAATGGTGTTGGATCAATTGGATCCACAAGAAAAAAAACAACACTAAATTTTCTTTTACCATACACAAAAATTAATTCCTAGTACAGTGTAGATTTGTAGTGAAATATTTCTTAAGCATGGTATAAAAATCATTAACCATAAAAGAATCAATAATAAAGGAAAATAAACTATATTAAAATGAAGGTATTTATTAAAGATGCAATTAGAATGAAAGAAAATAAGTCTCAGATAAAAGAAGAAATACGACTGAGAAAGGGCTCATTCCCAGTCTTTACATGTTCTTTGTATAATCAAGTAGAAAGTGCACACAGCTGGAGGTGGGTGAGATGGAAAAGACAGCTCAACCATCAACCTAGAAAAGATGATACCCAATGGAGAATAAACTTTCACAAATGTGCTTAACCATTTTAGTTACCAGGGCAATACAAATTAACCCCACAATTAAATACTACAATACCACTACACATACAATAGAATGGTTAAAAGACATAATACAAAATGTGGTGAGGATGTGAAACAACTTTGCACAACCACTATCACTGCTCATTTGAAATTTACAAAATAAAGTACACGTGTATGACCAGATGCGCATAAGAATGTACAAACAGCTCCAAGTTGGAAATTTCCCCAAAATACATCAACCACAGAATGAAATGACATAACTGTGGTATATCCATCCAGTGGAATACTATCCAGCATGAAAATGAAGGAATAGTAGAAACAACTATGACAAATACAGTATTGAGCAAAAATAGACCTAAAGGCAAAACCTTGATTAGAAGTCAGGATAGAAATACCCGGGGCATGAGTGCGGGCAGGAAGAGGGCTCTACATATATTATTTCTTGACCTTGGTGAGAGTTACAAGGTTGTTTTCCTCATGAAAATTTATTGAGCTGAATATTTATGTTCATGCACTTTTCTATATGGATGTCATACATTACTTTTTAAAACTTCAAAAAATAGCAGCGATACTAAAGGGTTTCCAATAATTCTGAGTTGAACTAAGTTAACGTAACTCTAGTCTAAATATTGTGCTTTAATTTTTTTACCCCATCCTGCCCCCACCCCTCCACCCCCGAGAAACACCAAAAAAAACAATGGCTATTAAGCTATCCAGCAGGCTGGTATAGGTTCAAGAAGGAAAAATTAAATTTATGAGAGTGACTTGGCACCTAATATTCTCTCCCTTATGGCTTATCTGACTTTTCTTTCATCATCCTAGATCAGCTCCTCAACAGAAACAGATTAGCTGGATATCCCCACATAGGTTCTTGGTTTTGCTTCTTGCAGTCTTCAGAGTGTGTTCATGGGTAGATGTGCCAGGGCATGTGTGAATGTAACTATTCCCTGCCTCAACCCAAGGTTTGTTGAGAAGAATATCCTAAAATCTTGCCGTCTTCTTGCTGTCCCTTCCCTCCCCTTGCTAGCCCACTCATTGAGGTAGAGGTAGTTATCTGACTGGTAAGTCCGGAAGACTGAATGAGGTATGCTTAACCCAGACCTTTCCCCTCTTCTCCTCTCTGCATTTCCCAACCAAGAGAGAAGCTGGCTCTTGCTTTTTTTCAGCTAGAATATAAGCTCAGTGCTAGAGGTGCTGTCCTTTCAATTGTGGCTGCCCTGCCCTATGCAGCACAACCGTGAGGAAGTGAGGTAAGTCTGTATTCTTGAGGGGTTAGGGAGCAAGCCCATTTGGCTATTACACTGAACTACGTTTTGCAACTCAGTCTTTCTCAGTAACAATGGCAATCGTAACGGCCGTCATCTGTCTTGCTGGGTTTGGTTTCATTTTGTTTTCCAATTTCTCACTTTGTTCAGAGCCAGAATAAAAGAAGGTAGAGAAGAGAGGTGCTACTTTTTAAGCATTCTCAAGACCCACATAATATGCATAAACTCTAATATGGAATATGTTATAAAATTTTATATAGTCATTCTCTTAAATGTTGTTAATTACATATTCTAAATTTGATATTAGAAATATATTCACTTCTTACCTTCCCCATGTCAAAAACTTGTTCCCCATGAGTTTCTACTTCTCTGTACTTTCCTTAAAGTCTGAGACCTTTCATATTATTTAGTCTGAGACTTCAGGAAAGAAGAGAAAAAGAAACAGAGAAGGGAAAGAAGAGAAGAAAATATTAATAACGGTTTCCATTTATTCAATGCTCCATATGTGTCAGGCACTAAGTGATTTATATGTATTTTCTGATTTAATTCTCACAACAAACCCATTTTGGCAGATAAGAAAACTGAAGCTAGGAAAAAATAAGCAAGTTGTGTAAGACCACAAAGCTTGATAAAAGTCACGTTTCTTTCAACTTCCACATCACTTTCTGACTATGTTTTATTCAGCATTTGCCTTTGTTTGCCATATGATACTATAATTATTTTATATATGTTTCCTGTCTCATGAAATCAATTATTAGCCTCTTTAAAGCATAGATTATTTCCCATTTCAATTTATATCCTTGGTTTGTAACACAATGCCCTGGACCCAGCAGGTGCTCAGTAAATGTTGGTGATGGCCAAGAGCTCATAACAAATGAGACCATAAGACAAACAATATTAAAATGTGACTGGATGTTAAATATGGAATTTGAAGCTGTGGTGCAAGTTCAGTGGATAAAACAGGGAATCTGGTCTCTGTTCTGCACAAGCGGTAAAATGATATGCTATCTATAAATAAAATATGTACTGAAATTTTTAAGAACTTTGAAACCAGGGACCTGGTTCTACCACTTATTAGTTATGAGACCTTGAAAAAGTCCTCCACCTTTCAGTTTCTTTCCTTTTCTCAAAAAGAGTTACATCTTCCTGAAAGGGTTACAAAGAGGTAATAACAAACAGCTTGTGCAGATTGAAAACTGTACTAGTCTGATACTATCAATTTACATTTGTCTTTTGGTAACACTCTATGCTATAGATGATAGAATGATGTATGACACTGTACAATAGTAATATACATAATATCATGTCATATGCTTCACAGATATAATATTAGATCATGTTATACTGCCATTTTATAATATCTATTAATTTTTTGATAATAGCCTAGGATGAGCTCTCAATACACATTAAGCCTTACTAGACAGAAAAAATGTGGTTACCGTCACTGATATGAAGCTGCTGTCTTTCCTGTCTTCTTCTTTATTTCCCCCTCCTGCCTGTCACTTCTGTCCCCAGGCATACATCCTGTCAGAACCATGAAATATTAATTAGCTCCTTCAGGGAAAGTTTTTGCTAGGGCTTTTCTTCCACCTAATTTTCCAAGCTCCTGTGAATCCCTCTTTCTTCTACCTTATCCTGTTCTTGCTGCAGACCTGGATTAAGAATACATGAGTTCATACTGGCAAATCGATATATCAATAGAATCCATATTATGTCATCTTCAGGTCTCTCCAGCAGCAGAGAGCACTGGCTGTGCATTCAGCACATGCTTAAAAATGCCTAGTGGTTGGAATTTAACTTTATCATAAGACAAACTCACCAGTGTTGTGTTTTTCATGCCCTTTCAAGAAGCTCTTTATGTCCAGTATAATTGAGTCTTCCTGAAGACAAACTCCTAAAAGATAATAATCATTAATATTTTTTGAGAAACACAAATATCATTTTGTTAAAAATTTATTTAAAAAAAATGCATGTTTTTGAGTTTTAAAAATTCAAAGGAGAGAGGTAAACAGGAAATAAAAACAGAAAAGCCCCCATGATCCCATCTTTATCACTGCTAGAAATCATTATTAATTGATTATTGTCTATCTTTCCTGAAAATAGCTATACAAACACATATATGCCAGTCTTACACACCCTCATACTCCCTGTACACACACTTATTCATATACTAGAATTTGTACATATACTTATTCTTTTTTATTTTTTTTAAAGATTTTACTTATTTATTTTTCAGAGAGAGAAAGCACACAAGCAGGGGGAGCTTCAGGCAGAGGGAGAAGCAGGCTCCCCACTCTGAGCAAGGAGCCTGATGCGGGATTCGATCCCAGGACCCTCAGATAATGACCTGAGCCAAAGGCAGATGCTTAACCAACTGAGCCACCCAGATGTCCCATACTTATTCTTTTTTAAAATACATGTAGTATGTACTACTCATACTGTTCTACAATTTACTTAAATATCTAAAATACAATAATCATAATAGTTGTATACTGGACACAGAATCTACAATATACAACCAAATGTGTTCACAGTATTTCACTGAATAGACATTCCATAACATTGTACAATTCTTCTATTTATGAACACATCAATTTTTTCCCTTTTGGGGGGAGTAGTTTACAAACAGTGCTTCACTGAATATGGCTGTGACAATTATTGCAAACTTGAGTCAAGACTAACACATCCACCAGTTTGTGGTCTATATTTAAAATTCTGTTTTTTGATTGCCAAAGGGGAGGTGGGCGGGGAAAATGGGTGACATAAAGGGGATTAAGGGTATACTTATCTTTATGAGCACTGATAAATGTATGGAATTACTGGATCATTTTATTGTGTACCTGAAACTAATATAACACTGTATATTAATTATACTTGAATAAAAAATAAAAAACAAAAAACATTAACACATTTATAGGTGGCATAAAGAAAAGGAGCATAGTTTAAAGTACAAAAACTACTGTATTTTGTTTTTTGGGTTTTTTGTTTTGTCTTGTTTTTAAAGATTTTATTTATTTATTTGACACAGAAAGAGCACAAGCAGGGGGCAGGCAGAGGGAGAAGTAGGCCCCCTGCTGAGCAGGGAGCCCAATGCGGGGCTTGATCCCAGGACCCCGGGATCATGACCTGAGCGGAAGGCAGACGCTTAATGACTGAGCCACCCAGGAGCCCCAAATTATTGTATTTTAATAAGCATTCTTCCCCAAAAGTTAGACTACTTTATATTCCCACAGTGTATAAGAGTGCCAATCTTATAGTTGAAAAAAAAATGGCAGTCTATTGCATTGCTGTCTTACTTTGTATGTCTTTTATTATGAATGAAGTTGATCATTTTTCACTGTTTTTATATTATGTTAATGGCATATAAATGTAACTGTACTTTGCATTCCCATTTTTTCCATCCATAAAACATGCCCTCCAAGATGGTGACAGTCTTTTGCAAAAGGGTAAGCTTAACACATTGGCGTCTGAGTAGTACTTTTCTAACATTTTGTTTCAGGATCCTTTTTACACTCAAAAAATATTGAGATCCCAAAGTGTTTGTGTTTATGTGGGTTATATCTAATGATAGTTATTTATCACACTAAAAATTAATGCTAAAAATTTGTTAATAATTATTTAATGTAATACTAACCCCATTACAAGTTAACATAAAGGATTTTAAGGAAAAGTAACCATATTTAAAAGAAAAGAAAACAGTTAAATTCCAGTATCTGCTTCTGAATTTAATTTATTGTGATATCAAATATCCTGTACCCTCTGGAAAACTTTGTGAAATTCTTATAAGAAAATGAAGATGAAAGGACAAATGATGACTTAGAAGTATTATTAAAGAAATCTTTCACCTTGTGTACCTAAAGAGGTCTTGTGGATTCCCAAGGGTACTTGGACCACACTCGGAGAACGACTTTGCTAGAGCAAGACTGTCTGTCTATAGAAATAAGAATATCCTGTTTGCTTTTTATGTCTTTTGAGTTTGGGTGCTCAGGCTTCAGAAATCAATTAATCACCAGCAATGTTGTTAACAGAAAGCTGATGTAATGAGGAAGGAAACACCACCAACATATCAAGAATTGATTAATGAAAGTTTTTGTTTATTTTTTGTTTTTAGTTTTGGCTTCATAGTTGTGGACAAACAAATCCTCTGCTACAGGTAATTTATTTTGGAAAGTTTTGAGCCTTAGAAAGATTCAAAATTGAAGTTAACAGTATATATGTTTCATGATTTGATCTTTGTATCTTCAATTATGCCTAGTGATTAAATTTCATATTGACTGTGCTTGAGCTCAATTTATTATATTATTAATTCTTTTCCAATGACAAGAATGATGAAAGTTAATTTCTGCATGAGAATATGAGCTGACAAGCTTTCTCTCAACCTTCTCCCGGGATTTCAGTTCTGTTTGTTTTCCTATTGAAATTCAGAGATCTGTGCTATTATTTTTCTTTTATTGCCTTAATTTATTGTATACACATATAAAATTTATATCCACTTATAAATGTGATTCAGTCATGTGTATTTCTCTCTCATTTGCCTCCTCCAACTTTCTATCCCCTTAATCTATTAATGTCATCCCTCTCCCCAACAACCTCAAGTAACCCATATATTCTTTATATTTATTTCCATACTCTCATAATAATGCACCCCCTAAACACAGACATAAATGCAAACATACATTTAAGGGTACAAATTTTGGGGCACCTGGGTGGCTCAGTTGGTTGAGTGACTCTTGATTTTGGCTCAGGTCATGATCTCAGGGTTGTGGGATGGAGCCCCATGTCAGGCTCAGTGCTGAGCCCTCCCCCTCTCTAAAAAAATAAAATAAATAAAATAATAAAATAAAATAAAGGTACAAGTATTTTTCAAAAAAATGTGATCATAGTATGTACATTTTTTTGGATCTTGCTTTTTCTCACTAAATAATTACCCATAGTGAATACCAACAAGGGAATTAGTATATATATATATATTTAAAGATTTTAAGTTATCTCTACACCCAACATGGGGCTCAAACTCACCCCTGAGATCAAGAGTCACATGCTCTACTGACTGAACTGGCCAGATGTCCTGGAATTAGTATAGTCTTAATTCATTATTCTTAAGAGTTGAATAGTATTTTATTTATTTATTTATTATTGTGATTTCTTTTAATTTTTTAAATTCCAGTATAACATACAGTGTTCTATTAGTTTCAGGTATACAATGCACTTTAAATTTATTCAACCATTCATTCTTCTATTTTAATGGCCTTTCCATTGTTGCTAGTTAATTTTTTATTTATTATTGTTATTTTATATCCTCACCATCCTGAACAATGCTGGAATACACATCCTTGATGATATATACTTACACACTAGCAGTTTCATTTTTATAGGACAAAAAGAATGCCAAAGTAGAACTGCTAGGTCAATTGGGATATAAGTTTTTAAAACATTTTTTTAAAAGATTTTATTTATTTATTTGACAGAGACAGCGAGAGAGGGAACACAAGCTGGGGGGAATGGGAGACAGAGAAGCAGGCTTCCCTGCTGAGCAACGAGCCCCATGTGGGCTCAATCCCAGGACTCTGGGATCATGACCTGAGCCAAAGGCAGATGCTTAACAACTGAGCCCCCCAGGCACCCCAAAACATTTTTAATAAAAGTTGCAGATTGCTTTTCAGAAGGGATACAGAATTCACAATTCCATCAGCAAGGCATGAGGATATCCTTATAAGTGTTAATCACACCTGTTAAATCTTAAAAGTATGACTAGTATAAAATAACAACACATTATATTACTCATGAGTTTGAACATCTTTTCATACTTTGTTGAAATTTTGAATATGTTCTTCTGAAAATAATCTACTCCAGTTTTTGCATACTGTTCACATGGGACTCTTCCTGCTTACAGTTTTGGCTGAGGCTGCCTCTCTGAGAACAGTCGGTGCTACCCTCACATTCTAAATCAAAATGCCAGTTTTTCTATGCAGGACTTAAAAAGGAGGTATCAAAAACTGGTTCAGTAAATATTAATCCATCATCTGCATCCACTATCTATAAGAAGGCTAAGAATGCAGTAAAGATTTAAAGAGACAATAATGGAGGACATTGCAAGTATTCCACTGGAGAGAAAAATGTGTTTTCCCCTCACTTAAAGCCAAATGAGGAAGCTGCCATTATGGCATGGGGAACTAGACATATCTATCTGCTAAAATCTGGGGGATACAGGAGTTAGGATATGACTCACACCTAAAAACTCTGAAGCAGAGAAACTTGCCCCTACTGTCAGAGCGAAGAGACAACAATAAGAATTGCTGCCCTTGACAGGACATGGACATATGTCCATATGTAGATATGGACATAGGTACATCTCCTAGAAGCTAAATGAATAGGGTCTCTGGTCAGAAAGACAAACTTGAGGTATTTTAAAAGGAGGAGTCAAGGGACTTGAACTGAGAATGGGCCATGAGGAGCCATGATCTGAGTTGGGGAAGCCTTGACTCCTTAAGATGGAAATCCCCAGGGATAGATCTAGAAATAACCTACACAGTGCCCTTCAAGAGAAAAAGCTACTCTTTGAACATCTGCCTTTCCCAGCGAAGCCAACACAAGATACAATTGTACAACTTGTCTTGCCCCTTAGTTCTACTCTTACCCTGTACTCCAATCCTGGAGGATTTTAAAGCAGCTTAGTGAATAGAGGAAGAGGAAATGATAAAAAGGGATTTCACAGGCAAGGTAGGGAAACAGAAAAACAAAAGATGGCCACACCCATATACTGGTTTCCTTGTAAGTATTTTGTTTATCTTTTCTGAATTCTTTGGGTGATTACTGAGATACTTCAGTTTCATTTTTCTTCCCTAATAATTAAGGCCATAAATGTTTCTGAGTACTGCTTTCACTATTTCTCAT